GTCATTGAAATAGCCAATGGGATGAATGAGAGAGATGGAAAAGGCCGATGGGTCGGTCATTGAAATAGCCAATGGGATGAGAGAAATGAAAAAGGTCGGTGGGTCGGTCATTGAAATAACCAAAGGATGGATGAGAGAGGTGGAAAAGGCCGGTGGGTCGGTCGTTGAAACAGCCAATGAGTTGAATGGAGGAAATGGAAAAGGCCGGTGGGTCGGCCACTGAAAATTGTCAAGGGGGCGGGAGAAAGATGTGAATAAAAGAGGCGGAACCTTAAAGCCAAGAGGAGCAGGGACCGTTGGGACGGTCACAGAGATTGGGTGTTGAGGAATGAGAAAATAGAGGATTGAATGGGCGGAAGGGTCAGTCTTGAGAAATGACTATTGAGAGAATGACCGCTTGACCGTCCAAATGGGTGGCCTTGCTGGTGAGAGGCTGTCGGACGAGCCATCAGAATCAGTCTTGGAAATAGCATTGGATTGAATGATTGAGGATTGAATATTGCATTGCATAGGCAGGGGACCCTAGGCAACTTGAAATAGACTTGGAAATAGCATTGAAATGAATTTTCTCTTTTTCTAGTCCTTGGCCTTAGCAGGAGGGGGATACCGATGCTCGCACCGCGACCCCAAGATCTCTATCCTTGTAAGGGAAAAAGTCTCAGCGCGACCTGTTCCTCTTGTAAGGGGATGAGGGTTAAAGGACCAAGGCACCCACCACTTGGATCGGTGCGGGACGTCCGGAACTGACCCCGACAACGAGCTGTCGGGAAGTTCAAGTTGCGCCCCGTGTTGAACGCCTAAACGTCAAAGGGTGAGAGAACCAAATGGGCAAGAGAGCCATTCTTTTTCTAATTTCCTTTGTTCTCCCCAACCACACGCCATGCCGTTGAGGGGCGGCACGACCACTTGGAATGGACCGAGGCGGCTCGCGTTAAGTTGAGCAGCACTGTCCAGAGGGAGGAATTCGGCGTGGTACCGGGTGGAAGCCACAACCACCACGGGGCATTGACACCGCCCCGCCGGAGCATTACAACCGCTTCGGGACTTATTGCAAGGTCTTCGTAACTGCACTCGTGGACTAATTGAGAGCCCCAACTCTCTTGAAAGGAAGAGGCCGGATCCAGAAAATTACCACTCGGGAGGAACGATTCGCGAGGAAGTCCTTACGGCAAGGCGGGGTCCTGGGAGGCTTGGACTCGACCTACCTTCCAGATGTGAGGAGGTACCTCAGTAATGACGCCCGTCTCGTAAGCATCAAAAGGTCGGACGGAGTAAGGGGATGAGGTGAGTTATCAGCAGGGGGGGGACTGATCACCCTTCCTTTTTGGGGCTGATGGGCCGGCATCCGCCTACTCGTTGGTGGGCCAAAGGTTGCGTACCTCCGAGTGAGAACTAGTGGTGCGATGGGAACATCACATTTTGAGTGGGGGGAAGGAGTGTCATCTACCGAAGAAAAAACGTGCAAAAGAGAAGGATACTATGAGCACAAGGATGAATAATTAACGTTGCATAAGCTTAATAAAAAGTCTGAAAAAATGTCCAGAAGAGAAGAATGGATGAGTAATTAACTTTGCGCAAGCTTGAGAAAAGGCCTGGCAAGATGTTCAGAAGAGAAATGGGTGAGAAATTGACGTTGCATGAGTTTGAAAAAAGGCTTGGCAAGCGACTTGTGTGATTGATTTGGCATAAGCTTGAAGATGAGCCGAGCAAGACGTCTGAAAAAGAAAAGACTCGTATGATGGACTATGTATGGATCTGAGAGAAAGACTGGCAGGCTGGAAAACAGATGAGTATTTAGAAAAAGGTCTGACAAGGTGTCTAAAAGAGAGATGCACAAGGGATGACCTGGGCAGCATGAATGAAAAAGTTAAAAATAAGCAAGGAACAGGTAAGGACAAAGAGTGATATGAATGCAAAATTGGCAGGACCTGAGGAGAGTCGGGCGAAAGGACCCGGGGGAGATGCATGTGAATTTGGCAAGGCCTGAGCGTTGTCGGTGCGAATACCCTTACAAGGGTATCCGCCCTGGTCTTTGCAGACAACAGAAAGCAGTTAGGTTTAAAGTTTAAGTATGCCGCGCTAGGCACGGCCGCGTCCGTAATTTATGTTGACTAGATGGTTGACGAGAGTAAAAGAGTGAGTGGGCGCGCAAGCTTGAGCCGCACGTGATTTTCCCTTCCTTTTGGTTACACTAGCAGACGTGGCGCGGACATCGGTCGGCGCGCTCCATTATAACAATTGTTTTGTTTTGACTAACCTGGCTAACCTATTCGTGCTTTTCTCTGGTTCTGCGTGGAACGATGGATGAGTCAGTGAGTGAGTGTGGGCTTACGTGGCATCCAGATGATGGGACCTGATGGATTCGGCCGGGTGAGGGTAGCCGCGGCACAGCCCGGAGGTTGGCGCGGCCTTTTTGTGGTCATGTGTGTGAGTATGGGCTAGGAAATGGCCTAGGGTGGCTTCTTTGGCCCCATAAGGCCGGGGGCTACCTATTTATTAGGTGAGTCAGGCGTGCTGGTACCAGGCTTGGGCCTAGCCCTATAGGTTATAGCATCGGACTTGTACGGAGAAGGCGCAGGGATCGAGGCCAACAAGATGCGGCAAGGGAGCGGAGGAGCGTGGCGAAAAGGCTTGAGGGGTTGATGGGCCTATGGGACTATCCCCCTCGCCTTTTGCTGCCGCGGGGCCAAGCGTGGGGCTGACGGGCAGGCTGAGAGGGGTGTTGTGGTCCCTGCCCGACTACCGCTCATTTTAATTTTTATTTATATATATATATATATACATTATTTCTAAGTTTATTTAGTTATTATTATTGTCGCGCCCGTATGTGGACGCGAAAACACAGCAGGGGGCACCGGCCGGCGCCAAGTCCTTCGGGACATCCGTCCGTGTTGGTGTTGTCCTTCGGGACATCCGCTAAAATTGGAACGACACAGAGAAGATTAGCATGGACCCTACGCGAGAAGTGTTGTGCATGAGCAGGAAGTGAATCTGGCAACAATTTGTGCCAAAATACCAGCATTTGTGGGGCGACTGTGGGGCAGACCGCTGTAGGCAGCGCTGCCGGGTCGGGTAGCTGAGAAAGGGGGTCGGAGGAGTTACCGGGTCGCSTAGTAGTTCGGCCACGTCGAAAGGCTTAGCCTCTCTAGGGAAAAACTGTGGCTGTTGGGAGACTGGTCAGTCAGTGCGACTTCGGGATTAGCAGGGTCTGTCTGGAAAGGGCAACGTGTATAAGACGAAGGAAAGTCGGCGCGCTCTGGGCTTCTTCCCTTTTTTTTGCTCATTCTCTTTTGTCGCCATCTGTTAAGACCGGACGCGGTGGGAGTGGACGCTGCGTAGAGCTGCGCTAAGTATTAGGAGGGCAGGCATCAAGACGGGCGGAGCACAGGGTATCGGAGTTGACGAGGGAGAAGGGTGAATGGACCTGGACGGGGCTTCGGGCCGGGTGCGCGCACGGTAAGAGAGAGAGAAGGATAGAGGGAACGGGAAGGATGAGGCACGCTGGTCGGAAGCCAGGGGATACGGTCGGCGTTAGTACGGAGACGATGAGGGAAGGAAAAGTGTGGATAAATCTGGGCGACAAGTGGCGTTAAGTGCCTATCGGGTGAAATCTGGCAACCAGGAGAAGGCCTGATGCCAAGGCGGACAACGGGCAGCGCAGACGTAG